AGCATGTTTGATTGCAATAATGGTTATTACATTACAAGTCTATTACAAATTGGGAAAATGACACAAACAATTCCTAAACTTTCACTCAATGTGCAATTTGGTCCCTGAACTTTTGATTTATTTAATATAGTCCTTGAACTTTAACCCAATGTTCAATGTAGTCTTTAAACTTTCATTTTGTTCAATGCAGTCCCTGAACTTTTGGTACATGTTCAATATAGTTTTTGAACTTTATAAAAATGTTTAATGTAGTCCTTCCATTAATTCAAGTTCAATGACTATATTGTACATTTTCATATAGTTTAAGGACTAAATTGAACATGTACCAAAAGTTCAGGGACCAAATTGCATATTGAACCAAAGTTCAGGGACTGTTTGTATCATTATCTCTTATAAATTCACCGTCTATTACAATACTTGCTACAAATGATAATCCTCACAAGACTAAATCTAAAAATACTCATTTTGCTGATCTTATCTCAATAATACTCCTCAGCATTTTTATCTCCATGAAAATATGTTTTTAAAAAACTTTTATTATTTCATACATTGTATTGCTTTGATATGCAATTTTCTCTCATGCACGTATTTTCTAACAACTAAATATTTGTTTTTAAGTCTAGTACCTTAACCCCTCCCTCTCCTTCCATTTCATTGCATTGTGCAGTAGTTATTACAACTAAACCCTATTAGCTGCGAGACCTAGAAATTAACAATATTTTCGCTCGCCGAAATCAATTTCATTCCTTTTGTTGTCATAATAATTGGTGTTTTTATTTGCTCCTATATCAACTTGAGGACAAAATTAAGATCATAAAAAGTATATAATTTCACAAATTAATTTAACCGGTTCGACGATAGATTGCTAATCTGTTTGAACCGGGCCAATCAAAAAAGTTCAAGAGTACTCACGGAGAAAAAATATATTCTAATTGCGTATAAAAACTTACTAAATTTTTATTCAGAGCAAATGAAACAATTAATAAAAACTTACGAAAATATGTTTACGAAAAAGAGAGAGATAGAGAGAGAAACATCGGTCCATAATTCTTGATATTGTTGTTGTCACGCCATAAATATTCCTCGAACTACAAAATCACATTTCATACTCTAATTGCGAATATAAACTTAGCAAAAACTTTTTCATAGCAAATGAAGCAATTAATAAAAACTTACCAAAATATATTTGAGAGAGAGATAGACCGGTTCATAATTCTTGACTTAGTTGTCGTCACACCATAAATATTTCTCGAACTACAAAATCACATTTTATATCGAGTAATATTTATTCCTATATTTATTCAAAAAAATATTAATTCTTATCGATTCATTCTCGCCTCCTTCGTGTTAACAAAAACTCAAAAACAATGTACCTTATGTAATATATGGGTTTTGACCCGGTCAAAGGAGAAAAGAAAAAAAAAAAAAAATCACCAAAGGTCTCTTAACGTTGGCTTGCTCGTCTCATTAAACCTGAATTTTTTGTCCTGCTAATTGTGACTGTCGTTGCAGTTGTTAATGGCGTGATACTTCTGATTTCAGCATACTTATATCTAGTGTTATCAATACAGTTTATGAACCACCAAATGAACTTAGAGAGGATTCTAAGTTTTGGGCACTAATGTTTCTAGTCCTTAGCATTGCATCATTAGTGATATATCCTCATTTGTTTGAAAGCGGAGGTAAGTTCAAATTTCAAGGACGAAATTTTTGTAAAGATGGTGGAATGTAATATTTGGACCTTTTAGAAAAAAAAAAGGGGTTGAAAAGTCAACAAAGAAGCAAACAGTGGACATCTTCAGATTAAAAGGGGCCGAGAGTTCCAGCGACCGAGAAACAGAAAGGAAAGAGAGGAAAAGAAGAAAAGGAAGAAGGAGAGGGAAAAGAAAAGAGAGAGGAAAAAGCTCATGCGTAAACGTCTCGTGGACCTCGGCAAGCCGATTCGACTTTGTGTCACAACGCTCGATAAGTACTTGCGCCCCTCGTTCGTCCAATCGGAGTATTTTTCGGGTTAAGGGCTCAAATTTTGGAGTTTGGTGAAATTCAAGCCGCATAGTCCGATTTTTGAGTTGTCGAATGGCATATATATATATATAGAAGTGATAGTTTAGTGTGTCATGAAGCTGTAGGATTTTACAGAACTCGATTTGGACTTACGATTTGCCTGATATAAATTTTTTAAGTTTGCCGCGAGTGGTGAACAGTGCGCGCTAGTAGCTTTCCATGCTGATTTTCGTCACCTTTGGCCCACTTTTGGGTTAGCCAAGCTGAGGTTCTTGTAGTGCTCTGAATGGGCTTTCTTTTGACTATAAGCTTGCTTGGAACGGAGTTTGGTGGAGAAAGTTTTGGCGCAACTAAGTTTCGCATTCAAGCTCCGCGTTGCGGACGGCTTTGAGTAATTGCTTTGGGTGAGCAATTTGTGGGTTCCTTTTAGTCGTTATGTTAGCATCTAAGCCTAGTTTAGCCAAGTCATAGTTGAGGTATCGTTTTGTTTCTTGCTTATTTGATGGAATTGCGAGTTCGACGGTTCGAATAATCAGTGTTATTTGATCGTAGGCATTATTAGGTGAGTGGTATTATTTCTTTCGAGAATTTACAAACTCATGTCTTAAAAATGGTAGAATTTTAATATAGTATGAGTTATTAAGAGCATATTTCTTGCATAAATTGAATCGAACTTTTACTTCATTTTTAGTCGATTGATAAGGAATTGAGAATGTTTTATGAAGTGGTCTAAATTGACCAATTGTGAATATTTTGGTTAAATGTTTAGTGAAAGGAATTTTCAAGAGTAGTTCGTATCGATTACGAAATGTTTTATGAAATACATTTTAATTGATAAATGGAATTGTGAGAGGTTACGTAATTCGATTTGTAAAACTGTTTTATGAAATAACTTTTTGGTGTTGATTGTGCGTTGTCGGAGAAATGTTTTGGTTGATATGGCTCATATCGCTATGACGAGAACCCATTGAAGGGGGAGTATGCATATTGTCAGTTAGTCCTTTTAGGCCGAACCGCCGACTATATAGATGGTAGATCTAGCCAAGCGGGGTAAACTTAGTCGCCTTTGTCACAACGTTAATCGTGACCATAGTTCGATGATGAGCTTTATGATTAGTCGACAGAATGGACCATTAGCGTATGATTGATGAGATTAATCAATGAAATAGACCGTTGATGATTGTTTATTATTATTGAGTAAGTTTTGATGACTGAATCTTGTACGTATAGAGTTTTGTTGGAAAGTTATCATACATTTTTAATATTTTACGTATATAGTATATTGAATTTGAGATAATAAGATTGATATCATTTTATAATGATGCATAGTGATTATTTGATCCGCTTGGAAGAATGTATTACTCACTGGGTCGTGGTAGCTCATTTCTTTCATCTTATGTGTTTTTCAGGTTCCTCGATTAGTAGTCGATAATTCGAGAGTACTTTTGATGGGGACTTTTGGGAGTTGATTTTTAGGTATGATTTGAGGCAATGTCCTTCGAGAGGAAGGACGACGTGTCACTACCCATATTCCTCTACAATTTGGGGGGTGACATATTCATTCTCAATTTTTAAAATTTCTTTTACTCTTATTCCAAGTCACCTAACACAAGTACAGAAAAAGGAAATGAAGGGGACCAGTCTCATTCAACTACTTTCAATCCCGTTAAACAAACGCGAGCTAGTCGAGCAGTGGAGAAAGTAAGCCGCATAAGTTCCTATATATATATCAAATTTAATATTTTTGAAGAGCATTTTTTTTAAATTACCGTTTATATTATTTAAAATAATTAATCGATGAAAAGTATTTTATTATCCACAATAATTTATGTCCAAACATTTTCATGAACGATGAAAACATCATTTTGTTCGTTTTTTTACTGTAAGCAATACAAGTAACTATTTTTAAGAAAGTGCTTTCCAAGTCATTCAGTTTTTCACAAAACAAACGCACCCCATAAAAGGCGGTCCCTTTCGAAGGTTGACAGAAGGCCCGTGCTTGTAGGATAGCATATTTGTTTCGGATGTCCACGAGTGTTTTATCTTAAAAATCGATGGTAAATTTTCTTTTTTTTACAACTGATAAAAAGGACAGAAATACATCCCGGGGGTCCGACAATTTCTGAGAGAATTCAAGGTGCAAAATTATTACCAATCCAATCTGGAATCTGAGTCTTTTAAAGAGGATGGCAGCGCATCAAAATAGCGACGAGAAAGAGAACCGCGTTTCTATTTTTATTCTTCATTTATTTATTGTCGTCTTCCTTTTCCTTTTTTGCTTTCTATATCTCCCCCTCCTCATGAGCGTGACCCTCGTCGAAGCACAAAACGACGAGGCAAAGAAATGCAAGAAACCGACACAAGAGAGAGGAAAATCACGAAGACGAAATTCAGAAAACAATTTACAACAGAAACAAACAAAAGAAAAATAAAATACATATAATAAAGATAATAAGTACACTAGAATAATCTCAGACTTGTCACGAAAGTTCAATCGAGCCCTAAAACTCTCTAAACGTGCAACCAAGTCCTAAAACTAGTAATGAAAGTGCAATCGGATTTTAAAATTTATTACGAAAATGAAATCGAGTCATAAGACTTTCAAAAGGCGTAATTTAACGGAAAGCTTGATTGAATCAATTTGACAAATTTTAAAATTTGATTATACTTTTTGAAAGTTTCAGAATACCATTACACTTTTGAAATAAATTTTAAAACTTGATTATATCAATTTTAAAATTTTTTAGGACTTAACTACACTTTCATCTTCCTACTTTCAATTCACTTTATTCTTATATAATATATATACACGACCATTTGGTGGGTCTTCGTCTTCGTCTTCGTTTTGAGTCTGACCAATGTCGCTGTGCGCAGGCAGATGAAGCCTCGTATCCCCAATGTGCGTGCTCGGACCTACCCCCCCTCCACCTTCCTTTGTTGTTTATTCAACTCTATATAAGCCGTCCTCTGTTTCTCTCTCTCAAACCAAAGAAAACACGCATAGAGAGAGAGACTGTGTCCGTGTGCGTGCGCGTGTTGGGTTGTGTTTGCTTGGCTTGACTTGATCGCGACATGTCGGAGATAGCCCAAGAAGCGTGGAGGAAGTACCTGATACAGCTCCAAGCTCACCCTCTCCGCACCAAGGTTTTCGCCCCCTCTCCCCCCCTGGCTCTTGCCCGCCATCTGTTTTCGCTTCCCCGCCGCGCCCGTCGAGTCAAAATCGCGCCTTTCGCGGCTCCTGATTCTGGGTCGTCGCGGTTCTTGGTCCGCGCTCCGTTCTTGAAATGTTTTCGTGGCTTTTGAGTGTTGTTTTAGGCGATCACAGCCGGAGTTTTGGCTGGCTGTAGCGATACGATCGCGCAGAAGATTTCCGGGATCAAGAGACTTCAGCTCAGGAGATTGCTTCTTATCGTGGTACGAATGAACGATCGTGGGTCGTGCAGATTATTTATTTTTATTGTTTTGGGTTGTCGATTGATCCTTTTGTTGATTAATTTGGACGACTGATACGAGCTTCGGTGTATCGAATTCATCTGCTGGTTACTGATTGATTTTTGGCAGCTTTATGGTTTTGCGTATGGAGGGCCGTTTGGGCATTTTCTCCATAAATTGATGGACATCATCTTCAAGGGGAAGAAAGGCAACAGAACCGTCGCCATGAAAGTAAGAAGCTTGGGCCTACCATTCATTTCAAAGGACTGCTATGAACTTTGACTTTTAGCCTGACGTCTGTTTTCAGATGTCGAGCCAAAAATGTTTGTCTAGCATATGCGTTTACATTTGCTTGGGCCACTTTCTTTGCTTGTGGGATGTATAGACTGTGGAACTTTTCTACCGATGTTTGATGGATGGGATTGCTTTGCAATAGGTGTTGTTGGAGCAATTAACAACTTCTCCATGGAATAACATGTTCTTCATGATGTACTATGGCTTGGTGGTCGAAGGTATGCTTGTATATCAGATATTTTAAGTCAAGCTTGATGTCGTCGGTGCATCCGTAGTCGCTTCAAGTATCGTTTCTTCATAATTTATCGTAACTTTACAGTCCATGCTTTCACTATGGCTTTGGCAATTTTTACGCTGCATTTCATTGAAAGAGATATCTATGCCTACTGATTAGTGATCCACCATCCATGAGTATACTATCATATTCAAGCATCCAGTCCCCTTGGACTTGAGAGTTTCTTCTAAGTTCTTTCTATGTTTTTGGTTTCCTTCAATTTTAGTGTTAAGAAGTAATAAAGGTCGACATTTCATTCTATATACGTTCAAGCACTTTTTTGCAGCTACATAAAAATAGAAAATGAAGCATCCATAGATAAGCTCCATTGAGGATGCTCTGATCTTACAATGTTGCCCCAAAAGGATTAGTACCTTGTTCATTTTTTAGGCATGTGGTGATCTGCTGGGCTACAGACCAGAGGATATATTATTCTCCAATTTAGGTGTGCGTGCTGACTCAGCTAATCTGCTTTGATCTAAGGATTATTCTGCTTTTAGAGTTGATTTTGCAAGTGGTGGAACTATCAATGTGGGAATAGGGATCTGAATTCTTATAATCAACATCTTTGTTTTTGTTATGAGAATCTTGTTTATCTTTTGGGGGACTTTACTGAGTAGTAGTTCTTCATTTGGCATGTCAGTTTCTCTTTGTGAAGTGCTCCCTCGTTACAAGTTTTGTCTGTTGCTCTTTAGTCATGAATCTCTGGAAACAATTAGCATGAAAAAGGATATCAAACTCGCGTGAAATTCTCCGATTTTCACTTTCCCTTTCCTTTACACAGTTTCTATGATTGAGTACTCTGTCTGTGCTACATACCAGAAATTTTGTTAAGCATATACTTTGTGAAAGCAGGAAGATCGTGGAGTTTAGTCAAGAACAAAGTCCGAAAGGACTATCCTTCGGTGCAACTGACTGCATGGAAGGTAAAAGAGTGTAACTCTCTGTTGCTAAATAAACTTTAAGTAAAATCATTGAAACGATTTTGTCAATCACTAATATTATGCTGATATAATGCAGTTTTGGCCCATAGTGGGGTATGTGAATTACCAGTACATGCCTCTGCAGTTTCGCGTTTTGTTCCACAGCTTTGTTGCCTCATGCTGGTAAGTTTGTCTTTTTACTTCGGCTTTCTGTTTTTCTTGAGCGAGTGCCATGGCCTGCTAATAGTGCTTGTTCCTCTGTTGCCTCCAAGGCATGAGGTGGTTTAAGATGATATCTCTTATTTGGCATTGCTTTAACTTGTCTTGGAATGCTGATTATCCTAGCATATGCTGATAGATCGTGTACTCATGTCCAGGGGCATCTAATTGATGGGTTTCATTAGTTAGGGACTGGTTATATGGTTTCAATTGACTGTCACAATAATATAACTGACGACTAAAGTAAACATCACTGATATTTCTACTTGGTTAGAACAATTGCTCCAGACAGTCTGCTATTCCTAAATGAATGTACATAGTTCCTTCCAGTTCTACGCAATTTTTTTGTTACTTAACACCTAAATGTTGAGCTCATAAAAAGAACTATTGAAGTTGAAGACATGTAATGGATCTTGAAGCTGGTCTTTTACATATCGTTTACATTTTAGCTTTAATCTCTCAAAAAAATACAATCAGTATATCAGATGGTCAATATTCTTAGAGCCGACACAACCCTGACTTCTAAGGCAAGCTAGATTTTTTACTGCTGCAACTCTTTAATGAAAGCTAGAGAAGAAAAATAATGAGATGTCAATGCATGTTCAGAATGTAACAAGTCAAAGGAGCGGCCACTAAGGCATGTTCTTGCAGTCTCGAGCCCACGAATTTTGCTTTTTATTTGATGATCACCTTTAAGCTTAGGGTCAATATCAAACTATATATACGCTCATGAAAACTTTCCATGTTGATCATTCTAACCTACATGCGATATAGGCATATAAGAGCCATAGAAAAACCTATAAATTATTCGAATTGCCGTTCTGTCGTAATTAACCTGTTTTCCTGTCTCAGGGGAATCTTTCTCAATCTCAAGGCAAGATCAGTTGCCATCAAGAAGGCTTAGGGTAGGGTGACACCTCTCTCTCTCTCTCTCTCTCTCTCTCTCTCTCTCTCTGCGTGTTTAGGGGTGTTTAGGGAGCACACATGCTCCATTGCTATACTTGTTTGCTAAGATGAGTGATGGTAATGACCATTTTCATGGTAACAAAACAAGAAGGCATGTTGGTGAAATGCCGGCCTACCCGGTGTTATCATACTATTTGTGGAGTTCCCTTTTCACTTTACCGCTCACTCGAATAGTTGTATTGCTGGGATCAATAATTACAAACTTCTTCTCCCTTGTTTCGCGTTTGATGTTTGAGTGTTGAGGTGATGTAAGTATTCATTCTGGTTGCGACTCCCGAATTATTTCCCAATGACATTCGAGCCATTCTGTTTGATTGTGCCGTAAAACTTGCGCATCAATTCAGTCTTGTAGATTTGGATTAAGCAGTTGAGCTTGCCAGCATTCGTAAAAAAGATCAATCTGAGTTCCTTGGTCCCGAGAAATCTTAACGGGTCGATCTTCTTCAGCCTCCAGCCGAGTCGTAAAAAACCATCTTGCAATATATGTCATAGATCCATTACATGTTCCTGTTTTTTGTTCTTGAGACGTTCGAGATGATTATATGGCGAAATGCAAAAGGGAGTAATGTTGAAAGCCGTTCCAAGAAACAAGGAAATGGTCTTCTTACCTACCATGAAGAAGCAAAGCAATTCCACGTGGAAAAGGACAATTTCATGATAGGCCAGTATAGCTTACGAAGAGGGTTCCAAATTGCAATGCGAACGAGAAGATTGTTCGCAGTTGGTCAAAGGCAATTTCTTTTTGTAGATGAACGGAAGACAAAGAAAGGTTGGAAAATTATAGTTTAAAAGGACGTATCGGACAACATTGGACAGCTGCGTTTGTCGTGGTTATTGGCAAGCCAATCCAAGTCATATGGGATTGGTCAAAGAAAGAATTGTCGTATCGATGTAGATAGCACCACCGGGGCAGTTTTTGATTGGCCATAGACTTTATATGGAAATCGAAGGTCACATGTTCGATTTCCCGATCTATTCTCGGTCTCAAGAAACCCTGGTTAGTGTACAAATGACGGGTTTCGGTTTAGGTGCATCGCCGGTCTCGGGCTTTCTGAGGCATTGCAGCAGCGGGTGGGTGTCGGGCTCGCCCGGTGGCGGTGGGCATTGGTGCGCTGGCCAAATCCACAACCTTAAATTGAACATTTTTCTTACGATGATCCATATAGTTTGTCGAAGATGCACATTCTTTTGACGAGCAAAACGAAAGAAAAATATAATTATGCATACATAGGTACAGATAGAGAAATAGGGTTGTGCAAATTCAACTCATTAAATCGTGGGAAAAAAGAAAAAGAAAAAACGATAATTTCTTGCACCAAAATCAACTTACCTTTTCTATTTTCTAAACTGGCTAACATCATGCAAAAGCATAACTATGACAAATTTATCCCAAACAGATATGGATTTCCACGTAGACTTGTCATGTCAATTGAGCTATTTCGATGTGTCATCTAGCTAGCAATTTCGCGATAAATTTTGGCGGAAGTTAACAAAGGGTCTTGAGTGTACCAGTTTGAGGTTTTTGGTGACTTAAAAATTAATTTGGATCAAATTTGTCACCTGTAAACTTATTTGAGTTTTCTTCATGGTACTACCCTTTCTAGAATACACTATTTTACATAAGGGTTAATACCGCGAAAAATCCCCAATTGGTACGCCTGTAACAATTTTATCCCAAACTAATTTTTTGATCACCAAAAATCGTAAACTGGTACACATGTGATAAATTTGCACTCAGTTTATTTTCGTTAAATTTTACTGTCAAATTGCTTTGTTAAATAACACGCGACAATTGACGAATGGAGCAATTTTATGTTTTACCCTCCGTTTGTCACAGGCGTACCGGTTTCATGATTTTTTGTGGTATTAATTCGATTTAATGGAAACTAATGAAGGATAAATTTATCACAAATGTACCAATTTGGGATTTTTGGTGATAAAAAAATTAGTTTGGAGTAAAATTGTCACAGGTGTACCAGTTTGGGGTTTTTTGTGGTCAAAAAATTAGTTTGGAATAAAATTGTCACATGTGTACCAGTTTGGAATTTTTCGTGATATTAACTCTTTACATAATCCGTCAATATTATAGCCTTATTAAAAAATCACTACTTTTCTTCCCAAAATTCCCGTCTCATTCTTAACAAAAGTCGAGACTTAATGTAGGGGCGAGCCTCTCCCTGCTAGGGGTGTGCATGGTCCGGGTGGGCGGTTCCCACCCCGGAACCATGGACCGTCCGCTACAGGACCGGTTCCAAAAATTGGAACCAAGAACCGCCCGTCGGTTCCATGGACCCGCCCGAGAACCGGACCGCCGGTCCGGTCCGGTTCTTGGGCGGGTCCATGGAACCGGTCTCAAGTTGAACTACCAGTTAAACTACCATATGCTAGTACTACTAGCACATGTTAAGTTATAGTAGCTAAAAAACATGCTCCGTCAATGCCAAAGGAGAAGAGTAAGAACGGTCAATATTAAAAAGGCAGCTCATGTTGTCGTCACAGCATCATGCAAACAACTTAAGAGACAAAGGGATTTAGCGAGTAGATTAAAAATTAGGGATTCAAACTTACAGCAATTAGCCAATTGAGGCGACTGAGAGGGCGCGGCCGTGTGGGAGTCCACAGTCGAGGCCGTGAGTTGAGGCCGAGATGGTCCGCCGTGAACAGAGCGTCGGAGACGGAGCGTCGTGAACGGAGCGTCCGAGACAGAGCGTTGTGAACGGAGCGTCGGAGACGGAGACGATGCGAACGAGATGGTGAGAGCTTGAGACGAGAGAGTATTGATCGAGAAGAGTGAGAGAGTGAGGCCGTGAGTTGAGGCCGAGATGCAGCGTCGGAGTGGAGACAATGAGAGTGAGAGAGTGTTTCTCTGTTGATGAAGATTCCAGAAGTGCGACTGTGCGAGAGTGAGGGGAGGGTATTGAGCATTTAGTGATTTAGGGTTTCTATTTTTTTGTAATTAAAATTTAAATAAATAGATAATATATTATAATATTACTGGTCCGGGTGGGCGGGTGGTTGGGTCCGCACTTTTGGGCAAGGAACCGGACCAGGTACTCATCGGTTCCAATAAATTGGGCAGGAGCAGGACCGGTTCCCTTAGGAACCACCAGTTCCGGGTCGGTCCGGTCCGGTTCCGAGCGGTCCAAGCGGTTCTTGGTTTTTTTGCACACCCCTACTCACTGCAGCTCCGCTCGCGTACCGCCACGAAGAGCACTCTTCAGCGAGGGAGTTAATCACAAGCTTCCTCTCAATACGACGGATTCGTGACGCAGCGGAGAAGATAGTTAGGCGCCTTTATTGCTAAGCTACCAATTTACATTGCCGGACGGAAAATTAATGTTTCTTTGAAGTTGTTAATGAACGAGGATAACTTGTTTCTTTCTTTGCCATGGCGAACGTGATCTTACACGATAGAGGACACAGAGCAAAACGGCTCGCTACGCCGATTTATAACTTGCCAAATTCGTTCCACGAATGGATAAATACGCTCTTGCTAATGGTAATTCTGCGCGGTTTCACGTGTGATCCGCATGATTTTACATAGAACGCGGTCCTTCATAAGTTTCTCATGTCCAAAAGGCATCACGACATTGAACAAAAATCAATTTCAGTAGACGAGAACGGGTACGTGAATTTGCTTGCTTTTTGCCCTCACCGGCGATTATGTTCTTCCTCACGAAACGAAATCGATGTCTTCCGATGATTCTCACATCACCAACAACACCATATTGCTAGTGCAACAGAATTCTTACGGGGTATCGACGGCGGAGATCGGCCGCCGTACGATGTCGGGTCGTGTTAGGCGACACGACTGGACGGAAAGCAAAACGTTGTCATCATTCAATCGAACGAAAATCAGTGGAGCCTTGACCCGCTGCGCCGGACCGTCTCGCCGTCCTCGCGGGTCGGGTCGGGTCGGGCCGGGCGGGGGCGGCGATTTCGCCGGCGGAGTTCCTCCATGGCAAAAGCTAAAGCTAAAGCTAAGCATCGAGCGACCCTCGCCATGGAGGTCATCGGGTAACACGCGACAAGCATACACCAAAAGGACAGAACAGGAGGACAAAAGAAAACCGCATCATATTCGCGAATTCATGTGATTCTCTACATCGAAAACGGAACCATCCATCTCCCTCTTCTCTCGAGCACGCCGATGATGCGTCGTCGTCGCGGCGGCGGCGGCGATTTGCAGGCTCGTCGTTGACACTTTGCAGGGCTCTTAGAGAGAGAAAAAGACAAGAGAGGAGAGAGAGAGAGAGAGAGAGAGGCGCGCCGTCGTCGTCGTCGAGGTGGTGCTACAGTTCCGGTGTTGTCTAAGTAAGAGGTAGAGAGAGAGAGAGGGAGAGACTCACCGTCTGTCTCTGGATGACGTCCGGATCGGGTGCTTCTCGCGCTCCCCTGCAGCCGGGCTCCGCCCGGGCCAATGGCGGGCGGCCACGTCACATCTGGATCCACCGTGCCAGGTGGGAGGGGTTCAGGATCCCCGGGACGTGGACCCCGTCGGCCTTCAGGATGCTCGCCACCTCGCCGTAGCTCCCGCTCGGCTTCTTCCCCACCTCCTCCACCCCCTGCGGCGGCGGCTGCTGCTGCTTCGGCGGCGGCTCCTCGTCCCGAGCCGCCGCCGCCGCCGCCGCCTCGGGCCTCGAGCCGAGCAGCGTCCCCATCGTCAGGAACTCGTGGGCCATGTACCCCGCCAGGAGCCGGTTGTCGGACATGGCGGCTGGCGGCTCGGCGGCGGGGCCCTCCTTAGCCGCGGCTTGGACCTGAGCCGGAGCCGGCCTGGCAGCCGGCTTATTAGCAGTAGTAGTAGCCGCGGCGCTGGCGTAAAACGACTCTCTCTCCTTGCGTTTCCTCGACGCTCCAGGTGACAGGATCGTGCGGGCGTGGTAGCTCATCTCGCCCGCATGGGGATGGGCGCCACGTGTCCCAGGAGAGGCAGGGGCGGTCACGTCAATTCCCCCGCGGGCGCCGAGGGCAAAAGCGCCAGATCGGGGTTTTAACGGAGCGGAGAGAATACGTGCGAAGTGCGTTGAAAACGACGTCGAATTTTACCAAAATGCTCAGACACAGAGAGAGATGGGAATTTAAAAATACAAAAACAAAATGGAGATAAGATGGAGAGAGACGGAGAGAGAGAGAGAGAGAGGGGAGCGAAGGTCAGAGAAAGGAAGATAGGATCTTGAGAAGGAGGTGCAGATTTGCAGGGTCGGAGGAAGACGGCGGCGGATCGATGATCGGAGGTGCCGCGGCGGTGGTCCGGCGGTTGTTGCGGCGGGCGAGGGCGGAGAGAGGGAGAGGGAGAGGGAGAGGGAGAGGGCGAGGAAGGGGAAGAGAGAGAGTGAGAATTGGGGGGGGACGGAGGAGAAGGGAGGGAGCAAAGTCACATGGTGGGGTTATATAGGACGGGGGTGCGCAATTACGCAAAAGGACCCCGCAGCCGTTCGGTAATTACGAAACTGCCCTTCTGGGTCCCGGGGGGTTTGTTAGGGTAAATTTACCAGAGCGACCGCGTTTTGATGTTTTGAAGATCGAATGGGATTCTTTCCCTTGCGCGTGTTTTTCTCCGTTCTGGTCAGACGTGGAGTTCTTGTAGGGGCTCTCAAAAAGTCGTCAGCCAAGTGAAAAACAAGGAGAAAAGACTAATCAAGAAATTTGTTTTGAAAAAAAAAAAAATATAGGAATGACCTTTGAAAATTCCGTGTCGGACGTCTCTAACAACCGCTCTTTTCCTGATGGTACCGAGGGTTGAAACCTTTACCGAGACGGCTTCTGAAAACTTGTCGATGCTCGATTCGAATCCATCGACGCAGATCCTGTAATAGTAAACCGAGTTTGATCGATTTGGCTAACCCTTGAACTTGTCCTTGACTAAAAAGGGGAAATGGAAATTATCTAGATAAATGATATTTTACCAGAAAAGTGAGGAAAAGAAAAAAGTTTAAGAGACTCGGCTGAGGAAGTTACGTCTGTATTTAGCAAAAAGGAACAATGCTATTTTTGCAAGCGCCGCGTATGCGCTGAAAATGAATATGAACCATCGAATATGACGGATCTCGTCCGTAAAACGACATATCGTGCTGGATGTGACTGTCATTAATGCTATTTGATTCATGATGGAGCGAATAATCTCGGCCGTTCGATGTGGGGCTCGAGGCCCGGTAGATCTTAGAGCCGTGGACCACTTTATTCCACCATGGCATGAGCTCGATCTAGGCCGGATTTTCAATTAGCGCAGGAAACAACCATTATGATTCGAGAGACACTTAATTGGATGACTAAAGTCGACAGTCTAATTACTAGGAATTTTGACGTCACAGATGAACCCGCTGATCAATCTCCTAAGGTACGACATAACTTAGGGCACGAGAAAAAACTGGCTAGGTAGCTATTCATAAACATGCACAAGGTATTATCAAGACTATTATCTTCATGATTAATATCACAAAAAATCTCAAACCGGTATGTTTGTAACAAATTTACCCCAAACTAATTTTTTAACGACCAAAAACCCCAAATTGGTACACCCGTGACAAATTTACTCTTCATTAGTTTCCGTTAAATTTTACCGTTAAATTGCTGAGTCAAATGACATGTGACAATTGACGGGTATACCGGTTTGAGGTTTTACCCTCCGTTTGTCAAAATATACCGGTTTGTGATTTTTCGTGACAATAATCAAATTTAACAGATACTAAAGAAGGGTAAATTTATTATAAATGTACCAGTATTGGGTTTTTGGTGGTCAAAAAATTAGTTTTGGATAAATTTATCACAAGTGTATCGATTTTGGATTTTTTATGGTAAAAAAGTTACTTTTGATAAATTTATTGCAGTTGTACCAGTTTGGGAATTTTCATGATGTTATTCTTTATCCTTAATATGGATAATCTTCAACAAATTATAAATCTTTTATTTTATTATGTCTCAAGAATAATTTCATAATTTCAACCCACTGCTTACGTGGGAAATTATTTTTTATGAGATTTTAAGGCTTGAAATGTATTTATTTTTCTTAAGTGGTGCTTGTTATACGTTTGACCTAACAAATTTCGGCTAATTTTTAATATGTGTTTGACTTCTAAGTATGTTAGTTTGGTTATAGCTTGGCCGCTGTTGGTTGTCATGGATTAGATCATCTCGCCATCATCCACCGTCTTGTTTTCTTTTTTTAAAATTGCTAACATTTGAGCATCGCTTAAGCAGTATTATCTAGGGAAAATGACATAAGTGATACCTGAATTTTGGCCCAAGGTGTAATGTGGTCCCTGAACTTTTAATCTTTTTAATGTGGTCCCCGAATTGTAGTTCAATGTGCAATGTGGTCCCTAGACTTTTGGTATATATTCACTTTAGTCCCTGAACAGTATGAAAATGTTCAATGTTGAATATGTACCAAAAGTCCAGGGACTAAGGGTGAGCATGGTCCGGGTTGGGTCGATCCAACACCTAACCCAAGGACCAACCCGCAAAGTGTTGGTCCCCAATTTTTGGGAACGAGGACCGACCCTGTTGAGCCTAGGATAGAGGACCGGACCGACCCTATGGGTCTAGTCCGGTTCTAGGGTCAACCCGGGACCAATCGATCATTTTTTTTCATTTTTTGTATTCCTTGAAAAGACAACATACTATTTCAAATTACATATCCATCAATAATGTGACATTGAGCAACCAAACTATGAACACCAATATGTCAAACATAAATATAAGATAAGGTAACACGAAAAATCCACACTTGCTAAAAGCAACAAATCAAGAAAACGAATGCGTGAAATACAATTAAACCATAAGAAGTTCAAAATACGTAATATAAACCATGAATTATACAATTTCATATCTTGTTCATTCTTAAATGATCGCTTCAACTTCCAAACACCTAAAAACAAAATAAACAACACACATAATTAATACTTAACAAAGTATGTTTGTTCAGCTAAGCTGCACTCGTGAGGTGAGTGAGGTAAGCGGCGAGGTGAACGGCGAGGCAAGTGAGGCAAGCAAAGAGATGCGAGCAAACATAGGCGAGCTAGGTGAGGCGAGAGGCTAAGGCAGAGACGAGGGAAGAGGGTTTCTATGTTTTTTTGGTCGAAATAGGGCTGGGTTTCTTCATACTTTCTATTTACACGGCAAATTGAACGGCATTAAGAAAGAAGAGAACAAATGAGGAGGCGCTAGGGTTTGGAGTAGACAAAAGCATATAATATATAATATATATTATATATGATATATACATGGTTGGTTCGGGTTAGACCAACCCTAAACTCCTAGGACCGAGAACCAACCCGTACAGTGCAGGGTCTAGGGATTCCAGGACCAAAGACTGACCCAGACCTCCTGGGAACCGAACTAGGATCGATCGGGTTAGGCTGATCCAGGGTCGGTCCAGGGTCGACCCTGGACCGATGCTCACCCCTACCATGGACCACATTGAATAAATTATAAGTTCATGAACCAAAATTGCACATTGAGCTATAATTAGGTCCTACAAGACGCAATCACGCCCTACACTGTGCAATTTGTGGTATAAAGCCAAATTAGGTCATGGACCGATGCAAATCCATCGAGGCGCTTTCTTTCTTTTTTTGTTGTTAGAGAAAATTTTATCAATGCTGATGGTAATCAAACATGAGATCCCATAAAAGAGGCATCTAAAATTTTATTCAATGTAGTTTTTGGACTTTTGGTATACATTCAATTTTGTTCTTAAACTGTATGAAAATGTTTAATATTGTCTCGCGACTGCATTGAATACGTATCAAAAGTTCAAGGACTATATTGAATAAATTAAAAGTTTACGGACCACATTGCACATTAGGCCAAAGTTCAATGACCATTTATGTCATTATCTCTATTAACTATGTCGGGATTTTAAAACTTGGATTAATTAATCAATTAATCAATTTAATTAGGGTCCTAAACAATTTTGTTTTTGTGAGTGTCCATGATGGATAAAGTCCATATCTTGCGTGATTTTGTTTTTTGGATTTTCCTAGTTGTGTTTGGTTGAGAAAAATAAGAGAAAATTCCGAAATATCAAATAAAAATTCATCTGACCCTTCAAAAGGTGCGTGTGATTCAACATGTGACATTTTTAGGCATTGGGGAGGCTAGACGATTTCGTTCGGAAATCAATGAACCGTGCCATCTTTACGCATGATTGAGTAATGGCAATGAGATTCCCCCAAACCGCCACATAAATATGATGCAACCACGCCCTATGCTTTGCAATTTGCGGTGTAAAGCCAAATTAGGTCATGGACCGGCGCAAATCCATCGAGGCGCTTTCTTTCTTTTTTTGTTGTTAGAGAAAATTTTACTCAATGCTGAAGGTAATTTAAACATAAAATCCCATAAAAGGGGCATCTGAACTTTTCGACCCCCAAAAAAAAACTTAAGCAAATTCCAATGGACATGAGGGGAATGTGCTGCCCAATTTGATGGAAGTATGGTTTTTCTATGGGCCTTAGCTACTCAATTTGCTACTTAATTCGCTCATGAAACATTTGAGAGTTGACCCAATAGCCTCGTCGAGGCACTTTCCTGCGTGCCAAAATCACGAGGTGAGCCCCCCAAGCATGATTAAGTGAGTTCCAAGCATGTTCAACTGCAAGGATTTCAACTTATGATATTGGCTTTTTCTCTTTTTTTGCATGCGTGGCGAGATAATTTTTGTGGGTTCTTCAGGTGGGTCGTTGCCCCCCGATCTGTGCTCGAGCTTCCTGGGTAATGTCAGGATTGCTGTGCTGAATCAGATGAGTTCGTTCATTTGATTATGTTTAAGTTCGTTTTTAATTGGGTAATCGGTGTTCAAGTAATGAATTTCATCATCGTTGTATGGAAAAAAAAGATATGGGCAAGTTTTATGTCCATGTCATGTGGATTGAGTTGGGCAAGAAGCTGTTCATGTGCACAGCAAAAAAGGGTGAATTCTCAAAAATAACCTCAAACTTTAGGTCAAGTCCCAAATCTGCCCCAGACTTTTGTTTGTCTCAGACAAAACCTCAAGCTTTAGGTTTAGTCCCAAATCTGCCCCGAACCTTTTTTTGTCTCAGAAAAAACCCCAAACTTTACGTTCAGTCCCAAATCTGCCATGAACTTTGTTTTATGTAAAAAAAATATCAGCAAATTTCAATTTATTTTCAAAAATATACCCTCGCGATCCGGTCCTAACTTGACGTGGTACTTCCACGTCATAACAAATCCACATCATCAAAGTAATGGGGTGATAGGTACAGACCGACGTTGCATTTCCACTTAGATAACAAATCAAACCAAATAAAAATTATTAAATTCTCCAAAATAAAACCATTCTAGGATATGAAAGTTAGGAACGATAACAAATCCATCCCAAAAAACTTTTTTTAATTTTAAAAAAACTAATTTTTAGGTTTAGTCCAAATTTGCTCCGAACTTTTTTTTGTCTAAAAAAAAAACCCCATTACTTTATTGATGTGGATTTATTATCGACGTAAAAGTGTCACGTCAAGTTGGGACTGGATAATCGGGGTATATTTTTGAAAATAAATTGAATTTTGATGATTTTTTTTATACAAAACAAAATTCGGGGTAAATTTGGGACTGGACTTAAAGTTTAAGGTTTTTTTTGAGAAAAAAAAAGTTCGGGGCAAATTTGGAATTAGACCTAAAGTTTGAGATTTTTTCTGAGACAAAAAAAAGTTAAGGACAGATTTGGGATTTGACCCAAAGTTGAGAATTTTTTAGGGAATTAACCGAGCAAAAAATGCATTTGCAGCAATTTTATAAGCACAAACAAACAAAAACCAAACAGAAGCATTTTGTCTTCCACTTTCATATTCATTCTCCCCAAAACAAAAGGTCAAAACTTATCATCTAGCTAGCGATTGCATCATTTTCCACTTCAACGAATAGCGACCCCATGAATGATTTGATGCTGCAACACAGTGCAAAGCTACGAAGATTCCCTCGATTTGATGTCCTCTCTAGTCTCTACCAAGGAAAAATAAGGGTAAAATCGATTTCTTCTTTTGTCTCGAGTGCTGTGAGAAAATTATCCAAAAAGTTAAACTCATTGCATTTTTGTCAATTTAGCTCTAAATCTTTTAATTTTATCAATTTAGTCTTAAATCTTTTGCATTTGTACCAATTCAATTCATTTGATCAATACTAACGTGATAATTTTTGATATTTTAATATATTTTCTTTATTATTTTTATTATTATTATTTTTTTTTCCACCCTTCTTCCCTCTAGCCGGTCCAGAGGTGAGGTTGACTTGACCTCGTCGGCCTCTGGTGACGCTCACCCCCACCGGCCACTGGTAAGGGCGAGCCTCGCCTGCCCTTGACTGGGCTAGCTTCGCTAGAGGCTAGAGAGGGTGATCAACCAGATGGAAGAAGGGTAGAAAAAAAAAGAAAAGAAAAAAATAAATAAAAGAAATAAAAATATAATAAAAAAATTCGAAAAAATATTAAAATGTTAAAAATTTGCCACGTCAGTGTTGGAAGGACGGCCAGAGTCCACATCAATGCTGGTCGGCCAAAATTGATCGGATGGACTGAATTGATACAAATGTAAAATGTTTATAAAATTTAAAAATTTAGAACTGAATTGGCAAAACTATAATGAATTTAGGATTTTCTGGACAATTTTCCTTAAGTGGTCTTTTATGACCAATTTTGCCCTAATTTGTGTTTCAAAAGCCCTCAGCTCAAGTGGTCCACTGGAAAGGAGTTGTGGAGCTTTTCTAATTTCGAGCAACTGCTGCAAGCCCAGCTCACGTGGGAGGCCCAGTCATCAAATTACTCCGAACACCGAAACAAATGCAATGAATTTCCAACGAGAAGGCATCTTATGCAACGGATATACCCGCATGGCAGTAACACGTGGCGTGATCGACCAATCAATAGGGTGATGCATGTGCAAATAGCGTCAATACGACGGAATTCATAGCACGCGGGCAACGGCGAATGACCGATTATATCACGTCAGCACTGTCACGTGATACATCATCGTGCACATACTTTTGGATATCGTGCCATGTTTTAGCTCGCGTAACACACGCCGAACATTATTCCGGAAAGAATTGTTGCCTCAAGTCATCCCATGCATTTGAGTTGTGGGCACCCTCGTTGGATCTTGTCATGCTAGCTTTGCATCACCCAAAGTGATACATGGAAGCCATCGCTGCCTTGATCTACTCCGAGCCCAGACGCACGACCCCAAAGTATTGCTCTATTTCAGGCAGAAAGTTCTCGAGCTACTTAGCATGCCGGACTCCGGAATTCGCCCTTGGTTTCGGCACATTCGTGCGACCACCGTCTCAAAGTTGGGCGCATCATTCACGACTCGCGCAAACACAGCCACTTCCTCGCGTCTTACGCGCACGGTCTCTCGGATGTAATCTTCGAGAATACCCGTTTGATCGTTCAAGGGACCTCATGGACAGGATGACTGCATACCTCAGGGAAGAAGGGTGTCGGCAGCAGATGCTGGCCGCGGAGGTCCCTTAGGCATCATGAGTAGGAAAGCCGTCGTGTCCACTGCCGGCACCTACGTCGGAGTTTCTTTCGTCCCTACCGAGACAAGGCCTAGAGGCCGAAGAGCCGCCCGTGCCAGAATCCCGAGCGCCATAAGACGGCTCGACCGCTCGACCACGACTGTGGCATGCTCCAGCGCAAAAGCTCAGAGTTTGATCAAATGCGGGTGCGCATGAGTTTTCGGACTTAGTTTCCATACTCCTTTGCGCGGGACTTTCTCGTTCTACTGGAGTGGGCCGTGAAACTTTATAGCTTTCAAAACCCCCGAAAACAAGAAGAAGAAAACTCCATGTACATTGCAATTAGAAAATTTAATGATATTGCATGGTAAGAACTTGTTCGAGGAAATAAAATGAATTTGTTTCCATATTTACCCTTATAATCGATAATGAAAAGACTATAAAAAGATTAGCTCATATTTCTTATAACTTTGAATTTTTCCTCTCCCAGGAAATTACCTATTATATATTCCCTCAGCCAACCACTCGACTTCACGCACGTGCGTAGCGCGTGACCTTGCACGTGAAATTGCGGATTTTAATCCCTCGGCCATCTGCTGGATTTGAAGCACTAGTTATAACGACGGGAAGTTTTTCTGGACACCATCTATAACCGGGAAGCATGTCTAACTATTGGTAACATCTTAAATTCTTAATGTCCTATTCAATACATTTATTGAGTAATACAATTTTTTTGCCTTATTTTCTTTTAATGACATGATATGAAGTTGAAATCAAATAGATCATTCATTGTTCTTTCCAAATGTTTTAACAGGAAACGATATATAACCTCTCATTGTAAAGAATCATGAAGATAATAACTTGGACATATCTATATTTAAAGGATTCTTCAAATTTATTCTATATTAAGATTAAAAGATAAAATGTGAATTGAGCCACTTTTGTCACGAAGTTTAATGAATTAACAGTAAAATTCGGTCATGTCAATGTGACTTTATTTTGTATACTTCTCTTTGGAATATATATAAGAGAACTTGGGCGGTGATTAAGATTTCTAAAAAATAGGACGTCCTCTTACCTTTATTAAAATGTTATAGGATAAATATCAATGCTAAATTACTAAGGTTTTAGCAAATGTTTTGCTAATACTCAAGTTGCCTATACAAAGACAAATGTTGTCTACTATTTATAGATTATTTTGCAGGATTATTTTGCTAAAGCAAATGTAACGTGACTTGAATTTTGCTTACTGATCTGTTATCTTTGAAAAATCCTTGATGTGATGAGGAGGTGCATAGATCACGATACATGAGAGTTTGAGACTCATCTCAGCTTTTCTTTTCCTTTTTATGCGTCCAATATTTTATGTAATAATTAGCTATTCATTTATTTATTTTTATGGAGAGAGAGAGAGAGAGAGAGAGTAGAGTCTAAAAAAATTATTAATTGTGCTCGATACGTATAGGTCCCGTACAAGTGAGTCATCGGATCATGTATATCCCCCGTGATATCCACACGATCTGACGGATCGAATGCATTAATAGCTGAAAGAAATAACGGGCATGTTTTCCATGCATGTTTATGACCTATTGATCCAAAAGAACGATAACGATGGACAGAGAAAGTGACTCAGCAACTAATGCAGATTACTTCACTCCGAAATTAAGGATTCTCGCGATCACATGGCACGCACATGATGCGATGACTCACTTGTACCGGACCGATATCCACCAAGAACAACCAATAATTTTTCAGGGTCTACTACTGTCTGGCTGTCTCCTTGGAAAAATATATAAAACGAATAGCTAATTATTACATTAGATATGGGATGCATGAAAAGGAAAGAAAAAATCGAAATCAGCCTGAAAATCTCTATGCGCAATTAAGGTAAACCTTATTAACTGAGGAATACATGTTTGCCTCAATAATTAAGGCTAGAATATACCATTCAATTTGCTTGTACCAAGCCACGCCCATAAATAACCTACCCGGGGTTGCTTCTTGGTACTCCAGAAGCACTTAGAACACGAGATTGCAGAGTGAAATCAGAAAGGGTGAAGAATAGCCATGGAAGTCGAGGCATCGAGGAAGATGGTCCTGATGGTCACGGCGGTGCTGATGTTCTCGACCTTTGTTGCTGAGATAAGTGCCGAGGATGCTGCGGCTTGTGAGAGAGAGTGCGTAAATATCTGTTCAGGCACTGAGAACCCACTCTCTTGCTATGCCACATGCGCTAGAAGCTGTCGGGGGAGTGATGGGGCTGTGCCGCCGGAATTGGGCCATTGCAAGCTTGGTTGCTTGGCGTCGACGTGCTTCGATCAACGTTCAGGTATTCGCACGCCGAAATATTGGTTCTTAGATTCGATTTTGGATAGCTATTGACCCAATTGATTTTGCCGAAATCATGGCGAAAGAAAGGTCCCATCGGGTGTTTTCCTCGATCAATTGCACATCATCTGGGCTATTGATGATCAAATTTTGGGATAATTGTCCAAAAAATCTTCAACCTATTGTACGGTAGCCAATCTAGTCCTAAACCTTTCAATTGTGTCAATATAGTCATAAACCTCTTGACAATTTTACCAATTTAGTCCTAAACATTTTTATGATATGCCAATTTAGTCCTAATCTTATTATTTGGCTATTTGGCCGGAAGGACTACATTGATAAATCGTCAAAAAAGTTTAAGACTAAATTGACAAATCATCAAAATATTCAGGACTAAATTGGCACAATTGAAAGATTTGGGATGAAATTGGCAAACAATCAAAAGGTTTATACTAAATTGGCACAATTGAAAAGTTTATGACTGAATTGGCCTCCATACAACAGGTTAGCACTTTTTGGACAATTTTCCCGTTAATTTTCCCTCATTCAATATGAATATGATTCGCATCATTACTATATGAATCTAATTTGTGTGAATATCTCTAAATTCGCAAATGGGTAGGGTAGGAGAGAATCAATCAGTTCCTTTTGAAAAAAGAGTACAAATTTTCATCAGTCTCTTTACTGTTGGTGGGTTGCAGATGTAAAGATATGACCTTTCTTTTCATGGTGTTATGAGTCCTCATAACTTACATACCGAACATTTATTCCATCTTCCATAAAAATAACACGAGCTCCTCCTTGTTTTTCCCCCATCCTTTTGTTTGCAACTTGTTGTAGATGGAAAGAAAGTCGAAGCATACAAAGAGAAGGCTGAAGCTTGTGTGACCTCATGTTCGGAAAGTTGCCAAAAGTCTTATGTACCACATTAGGATTGCAAATTTGAAGGACGGAGGGAGAGAAATGCAATAAATGTGTAATTTCTTTTCTAGAAATCTCTGAGTTGCTTATAAATCATCCGCCATTTATTTAGTTTGCCGCAATTTAAATTCATTCACAAATAATTCGTGTTAATCAATTAGGCACCCTAGGCGATCTAGATCTGCATTCCGAGTCCAATGCACACGATATGTTAGATTATGTGGATATCACATGGTATATACATAATCTAGTGACTCACTTTTACCGGAGCTATATGTACCGAGCACAACTAATAATTTTTCAAACTCTCCCCTCTATCTCCTCGAAAATAAATAATTGAATGGCTAATTATTTCATTAGATATTGGATGCACAAAAAAGGAGACAAAAATTTAGATCAGTACGAAACTCTCGTGAATCGTGATCTATGCGCAATACTATCTATTCTAGCCTCCATAAGTGAGGATGATATTTTTTTCCTCTTTGAACGCCACCAGCGACCCAAAATCCTGGATCGCTTCATAGGAAAACAAACTAGGATGGTGTTGAGAAGGTCGGGGCTGGCCACGAGTCGCGGACGGTAGTGAACCGGTTCAACCCCGCCCATGTCGGAAGACTCCATTTTTCCTATCGAGATGGGAGGCTTAAGCTCCGAGTATCACTCACCCAATAGGTGTCAAAACCTCACTTGAACTTGTGCATGCCTCTGTGCCCTCACTAGCCTCTATCAACTCTACGAGTTTTCACTAGCTTATTATCCCTTTGTGTTTATCTAGTGCACCGCAATTTAAATTCATTTGCAAATAATCCGCAATAATAGATTGGGCCCTCTAGGTGTCCAATTCGATGGACGTATGGTTTGTCTATGGGCTTTAGCTACCCAATCTGCTACTCCATTTGCCTCTCTTCCACGATGGGCAAACGAAACATTTGAGAGTCGGCCCAATAGCCTCGTTGAGGCGCTTTCCAGCATGCCGAAGTCGCGAGGTGAGCGCCCGGAGCATGATTTAGTGAGTTCCAAGCTTGTTCAACTGTAATGATTTCAACTTTTCTTTCTTTTGCATGCGCAGCGAGATAATGGTTGCAGGTTCTTCAGGTGGGTCGATCCCCCTTGATCTGTGCTCGAGCTCCCCGAATAATGCCGGGACTGCTGTGCTAAATCAAATGAGTTCGTTCGATTATGTTTTGAGTGTGTTTTAATTGGGTAATCGTTGTTTAAGTAATGAATTTTGTCATCGTTTTATGGAAAAAAGATATGGGCAAGTTTTATGTTGATGTTATGTGGATTGAGTTGTGCACATTGTTGGGCAAGAAGCAGTTCAAGTGCACTGCAAAATAAATGCAATTTGCAGCTAATTTTATGAGCACAAACAAACAAGTACCAAACAGAAGCATTTTGTCTTCCACTTTCATATTCATTCTCGCCAAAACAAAAGTTCAAAGCTTACCATCTAGCGATTGCATCATTTTCCGTTTCAACGAATTGCGACCCCATGAATGATTTGATGCTGCCACACAGTGCAAAGGTACTAATATTCCCTCGATTTTCATGTCCTCTCTCCAAAGGAAAAAGGGGCAAAATCGATTTCTTCTTTTGTCTCGAGTTCTCTCTTGTGACATTTTGCCCTAATTTGGGTTTCAAAAGCCCAAGCCCAGCTCACTTGGGAGAGGAGCTGTGGAGCTTTTCTAATTTCAAGCAACAGCGGCAAGCCCAGCTCACGTGGGAGGCCCAGTCTTGCCCGATGACTCCACGCATCAAATTACTCCAAACATCGAAACAATCGCAATAAATTTCCGACGAGAAGGCATTTTATGTGACGGATATACCCACATGACAGTAAGACATGGTGTAATTGACTAATCAATAGTGTGATGCATGTACACATAACGTCAAGCAGGAATAATGATATAAATGGTCCATAAACTTTGGCCTAATGTGCAATGTGGTCCTTGAACTTTTAATTTGTTCAATATGGTCCATGAACTTTACTCCAATTTGTAATGTGATCCCTAAACTTCAAAATTGCTTAATGTGGTCTATAAACTTTTGGTACATGTTCAATTTAAACTATATGAAAAATGTTCAATATTGTCATTTTATTAATTCAAGTTTAGAGATAACATTAAACATTTTCATATAGTCCAATGACTAAATTGAACATGTGCCAAAAGTTTAAGAACCACATTAAGCAATCTAAAAATTCAGTGACGACATTGCATATTAGGTTAAAGTTCATAGATTATATTGAACAAATTAAAAGTCCAGAGATCACATTGTACATTGAGCCAATATTCAGAGACCATCTGTGTTATTTTATCAAGAGATTAAAATGGCATTTATGAGGCTGAAGCCCTAGAGTTTTTCTGGAATTATCTTTCGTATAACGAACTAAAACCACCGTCTCATCTTTCCATTTAACCCGATATTGCCTCTACAACAAAGGAAAGAAAATGAATTTATTCCCAAATTACCCTAATAACCAATAATAAAAAGACTATAAAAAGATTAGCTTATTTCTTATTACTTCAAATTTTTTGTCTACTCTCTCATGGAATTACCCATTACCTTCCCTTAGCTAACCACTCGACTTCGCACACGTGCGTAGCGCATGACCTTACACGGGAACTACCCATCTTTTTTTGTTTTTGGTCGAAAAAATTACCCATCTTAATCCCTTAGCCATCTGCTGGATATCGCACACTAGTTTTAACAACAGGAAGTTTTTTCTGGACACCATCTATAACCGGGAAGCATGTCTAACTACTGGTAACATCTTAATGTATCTTAATGTCCTTTTCAAAACATTTATCGAATAATACAATTTTTTTATTTTTTTTTATTTTACTGACATGATATGAAGTTGAAATCAAATAGTTCATTCATTGTTCATTCCAAATGTTTTAACAGAAAGCGATATATAACCAATATTGTAAAGAATCATGAAGATAATAACATTCTTCAAATTTAATCTGTATTAAAATTAAAAGATAAAATGTGAATTGAGTCACTTTTGTCACAAAGTTTAATGAATTAACAGTGAAATTCGGCCATGTCAATGTGATTTTATTTTGTATTACTTAAGTTGCCTATACAAAGACAAATGTTGTCTACTGTTATACATTATTTTGCAGGATTGTTTTGCTGAAGCAAATGTAATGTGACTTGAATTTTGCTTACGGATCTGTTATCTTTGAAAACTCCACGATGTGATAGGGAGGTGCATAGATCACGATTCATGAGAGTTTCTGACCGATCTCAATTTTTCTTTCCATTTTATGCGTCCAATATTTTATGTAACAATTAGCTATTCATTTATTTATTTTTAAGGAGAGAGAGTAGAGTCTGAAAAAATTATTAATTGTGCTTGGTACGTGTAGGTCCCATACAAGTGAGTCATCAGATCATGTATATCCCCTATGATAACTACACGATTTAACGGATCGTATGCATTAATAGATAAAGAAATAATGGGTATTTATGTCGTATTCATCTAGATAACGATAATGATGTACAGACAAAGTGACTTAGCAACTAATGTGGATTACTCACGTTAGCCCGACTCCGAAACTAAAGATTCTCACGAGACATCATTGCCTGCATTCCAAGTCCAATGCATGCGATCGTTTAGATCATATGTATATTACTTGGCACGTACTTGATGCGATGACTCACTTGCATCGGACCTATATCCACCAAGAACAACCAATTATTTTTCAGGGTCTACTATTCTCTGTCTGTCTCCTTGGAAAAATAAATAGACGAATAGCTAATTATTACATTCGATACGGGACGCATGGAAAGGAAAGAAAAATCGAAATCAGCCTGAAACTCTCTATGCGCGATTAATGTAAACCTTATTAACTGAGGAATACACATTTGCCTCATTAATTAAGGCTAGAATATACCATTCAATTTGCTTGAACCAGGCCACGCCCATAAATAACCTACCTGGGGTTGCTGCTTGTTTTGTTCTTGGTACAGTCAAAAGCACTTGGAACACGAGATTGCAGAGTGATATCAGAAAGGGTGAAGAATAGCCATGGAAGTCAAGGCATCGAGGAAGATTGTGACGGCTCAAGCCAAGCGGCGGAGCGCGGGGAGGAGGGATGGCGGTGCGTCTGCGTCACTACCCCGGACGTGCGCAGGGAAGTGGGGTACCTCTTTTGTCCCACATCGCCTAGGGGGGAAGTTCCGGGCTAGCTTATAAGGCTTGGGGTTTTATATTTGTGTAACACGCTTTAAAGCTGTGAGGGTCAGTGAGCCCAAAGTGGACAATATTACATAGTGTAGACTCGAGATCTTACAAAGATGGTCATGGTGGTGCTGATGTTCTCGACCTTTGTTGCTGGGATAAATGCCAAGGATGCTGCGGCATGTGTGAAAGAGTGCGCAAACCTTTGTTCAGGCACTGCTAACCCAATCTTTTGCTATCTCATATGCACCAAAAGGTGCAGGACGCTTCGATCAACGTTTAGGTATCCGCGTGCCGAAATATTGATACTTAGATTTGATTTTCGGATAGATGTTGACTCGATTGATTCCGCCTAAAATTGTGACATGGGACACAAAAGAGGGTCCAAGGTCCCATTGGGTGTTTTCCTCGATCAATTGCACATCAAATGGGCTATTGTTAATCAATTTTCGGGATAATTGTTCAAAAAGTCTTCAACCAATTGTACGGCAGTCAATCTAGTCTTAAACCTTTCAATTGTGTCAATTTAGTCCTAAACCTTTTGATGATATATCAATTTAGTCCTAATCCTATTATTTTGATATTTGGCTAGAAGGACTACATTGACAAATAGTCAAAAAGTTTAGGATTAAATTGACAAATCGTCAAAATGTTTAGGATTGAATTGCCATAATTGTAAGATTTATGACTAAATTGGCAAATCATCAAATAGTTTAGACTAAATCGGCACAATTGAAAAATTTAGAATTAAATTGGCTTTCGTAAAATAGGTTTATGATATTTTGGACAATTATCCCATCAATCTTCCCTCTTTCAAATGAATATGATTCGTATCATTGCTATATGAACCGAGTCTGTGTGAATATCTCTAAATTCGCAAATGGGTTGGAGAGGATCAAGCAGTTCCTTTTGAAAAAGAGTATAAATTTTCATTAGTCTCTTTACTGTTGGTGGGTTGCAAATGTAAGGATATGACCTTACTTTTGTTTGCAACGTGTTGCAGATGTAAAGAGAGTCGAAGCATACAAAGAGAAGGCTGAAGCTTGTGTAGACTTGTGTTCGGAAAGTTGCCAAAAGTCTTATGTACCACGTTAGGATTGCAAATTTGAAGGACGGAGGGAGAGTAATGCAATAAATGTGTAATTTTTTTTTTCTGAAATCTTCTTGTTGCTTATAAATCATCCGTCATTTATTTAGTTTGCAGCTACTGAAATTCATTCGCAAATAATCCATGTTAATTGATCGGGCACCCTAGGCGATTTGGGCCTACAATCCAAGTCCAATGCACATGATCCGTTAGATCATGTGGATATCACATGATATGTACATGATATAATGACTCACTTGTACCGGATCTATATGTACCGAGCACAACTAATAATTTTTCAGACTCTACTCTCTATCTCCTCAAAAATAAATCATTGAATAGCTAATTATTTCATTAGATATTGGACACTTAAAAAAGGAAAGAAAAATTTAGATCAGTTTGAAATTTTATTAAGGTAACTTTATTAATTGATGAATACGTATTTGCCAAGTACTACTATCTATTCTAGCCTCAATAACTGACCAAAAATAAATAAATTCTAGCCTCTCTTTGAACACCACAAGTGACCCAAAACCGTAGATCGCTTCATATATAAAACAAACTAGGATGGTGTTGAAAAGGGAAAATTATCCAAAAAGTCCTAAATCTATAGCACTTTCGTCAATTTAGTTATAAACATTTTAATTTTTGCCAATTGAGTTTTAAACATTTTCACTTTTTGCCAATTGAGTCCATCCAGCCAATTTTGTTTGGAAATCGCTGACGTGGACGTCGGCGGTCCTTCTTTCGTCCAGTTTGGGCAAGGCCGCACCGGCCGCGGGTGAGGCAACCCTCATCCAGATTTGGCAAGAGCCTTCGCGCCCTCCCTCGCAGCCGGTGGGGCTGCATAGCCCTTGCCCAGGGCCATCGCAACCTCGCCAATCGCGGATGGGGCAGCCCTCGCCCAGATCTGGCAAGGGCCGCCTCGCCCGCGGCTGGCTTCGCATGTCTTCTTTGAGCTCAACAACCCCTCCCTCCAAGATAGGGTTTTTACAACGAGAGCTGATATAGCTCGAATTTTCTCGACGAAGCCCTTCGGGAGAAGTCCGATCTCGACATGCCTCGGCAGTAGAACCCTCACGCGAGTCGCTGCACCAAGAGGCATCCCTGTTAAGCTTCAAGATTTAGGCGAGGGCCGAATGTGGCTGGCGGGGCCGTGAAGGCCCTCGCCTGCGGCCGGCAAGGCTACGATGGCCTCACCTAGGGCCTTCATGGCTTTGCCGCACGTGAGTGAGGCAGCCCTCCCCCGGTTTGGGCCAGGCTTGCGTGGCCGGCGAGGGTCGACGGCATGGAAAAAAACACACAGAAAAAAGAAAAGCAAAGAAAAAAGGAAAAATATTAAAAATACTAAAAATTGGAAAAAGTATTAAAATATTAATAAAAAGTTGTTCACACGGATTTCGGGCAAAAAATGGGTGGATGGAATCAATTGGCAAACCGTGAAAAAATTTAGGAATCAATTGATAAGATTAAAATGTTTAGAACTGAATTGGTAAAAACGCAATAGATTTACGAAACATTTTGGACAATTTTCGTGAAGGTTGAGGCTGGCCACAAGTCGCAGACGGTAGTGAACTAGCATGACCCCGCTCATTTTCTCACTTAATATTTGTAATACAATCTAAAAACTATTTCGGGTTTGTAACAGCTAAAATGGATGGATTTTGTCAATTGGTTTCCGCTTGAAATTAAATATTTCAACCCTTTTCGCTTATTCAAGTCTCTTTACCGTAACATAAAGAAAAAGGAAGAACCCACACCCGAAATAGACTCCCATTTTCATTTCACAGAAACTGCGCTCCGCATTTGCCTCCCAGAAGCTACAACGGGTGCGTTTGGGTCGGCATTTGAGGAAAATCTTTGGCCAACCTATAGGGCTTTTGGGGAAATGCACGACTATTTGATAAACTGTAATTGAAAAGTGTTTGGGGGCAACGTACGACTTTTCTTCCCTCTTGTTCTCCCCTCTCTCTCTTCATATTCGTGTGCGTATCTTCTCTCTTTATTGCCTTTAGTGTTGCTATGTTCATACCCACTCGCTCGCATAAGAGACACAAGCCAGAACACAGATAGCAACACGCAGGACATACCACCCAGCTTACCCTTAAACCTTCGCCAACAGCCAGCCACATCAACATAACACCCGCCATACTCATTTTCATGGTACACACATGCAAACCAACACTCACAACCTCCCTTCTTACAGCACATACGCAAGAACGAGCATTCAAAGGACTCGCAATGAACGTGTTCAACTTGTATGCAGCTACACAAAAAGCTACACTCAAGTACGACACTAACAGTCCTCAACTTTTTGCAACACGCGGGTACAAACCAGCAAAAATTGCACAGCAACTGCTCTCGTGTATGTCCTAAGCACGGCATTAAAATGCTTCATCTCAGGCCTTGTCTGGATCACAGAATCTCTAGGATGTAAAGCACCGAAATGGTATTGCCTGGTAATGGGCAAGAAAAAGATACATTCTCAATTGAGGGTGCGATTGACCAAAAAAAAAAATTTGAGGGTGCGAGGTGTGCGGACACCAACACAATAAAATAAGTAACGCATCCTGTCAGCCCGTCCCACAGGAGAACGGGGAGAGGCACAGGAGGTCCTTGTAGGGAAGCAATTCCCCTACCTTGGTGAGGTAACCCTTCGACCACACCAAGGATCCATGGAAGCCCTTGTTTGAAGGTAACCCTGCATACGAGTTGCAAATTTTCATGTGTAACGTACACTCGGTCCCGCTACCAGGTCGGTTCATGTCCATAATAAGCTTTCACAGGTTTTCTTACTCATGAAACACCCTCACAGTTCAGTCAGCTCACACGGCACACACATATCATCTATGAACCAGAAACTTGCGCTAGCTCGGACTCGCACATACGCTCCCAGTTTGCATTTGGGTATTATGTACTTTGGCAATGCAAACCGAAAGGTCAGTTTCAATTCTTGGGCAAATCAAATCCCGGTTCATGCTTTTCTTCCTCCAACTTGATCTAAGGTTTCCAGACAAAGAGACCGCACAAATAAGAAGAAGTAAGCTGTTTAGCCTAAATTGAATCGTTTTGTCGCTAACATATATGTCAAAATGAAATAGGGATGATAGATAAACTGGTCAAAGGAAACGTATATTTAATTAACGCATTTCAATTAACATCCGGAATGTTTAAGAACTAAGTCAACCAAGCTTGATTTGTACATTGACTTCATTTCGTCATATTTAAATCCTGTAACATCTGGGACGTTTAAGAACTAAGGGTTCATTTGTTTTCCGGGAAATGTATCATTTCTGGAAAATACTTTCAGGCTCCGTTTTCTAGTGTTCAGTTAAAACCTAAAAAAGAACTGGCAAGTACTTTCAGTCATTTGGTAAAGAAAATCTAATTGGGAATATTATCAAAAAAATTCGTATTCTTTTAATTTTTTAATATATTCTTTTATTTCCTTTTTCTTCTTCCTCGGTCGGTCGCCGACCGGCCACTGGCGAGCGGCCGGCCAGGCTCGAGCTTCCTAGATCCCGACGAGCTCAAGCCTCACCAGCCTTGGGCGAGCTTGAGGCTCGCTGCAGAGGCCGCGAGCTCGCTGGCCTAAGTAGAGCTTGCCCGATCTTGCGAAGCTCGAGCTCGCCGCCAAACACTACAAGCACGCCGGCCTAGGGTGAGCTCGAGGCTCGTCACTAAAGGCCGTGAGCTAGCCTGATCTGGCGAGGCCAAACTCGCCGTTGGAGGCCACGGGCTTGCCACCGGAGTCCGCGAGCTCGCCCAATCTGGCGAGTCCTGAGCTCGCCGGCCGACATCGTGGCCGGCAACCGGCCTTGGAAGAAGAAAAATAATAAAAAATGAAATGAAAGGAGAAGAAAACGAAAGAAAAAAATAGAAAAATAATTATAAATAATAAATAATTCGATTCTTAATAATAATAATAATAAATTCGCATTTTTAAATAAAAAATAATTACAAATTCGTATTTTTTTAAAACACTATTTTTATATGAACAAACATTTCATTAACCAATGACCCGAGCCTAAGCTTACGAAATGTGCCACTGTGTGTCCTTGTCGGTCAGTCACGGTCAGTCGGGCCAAGACGACCTCGTCGGATTCGGGTTCAGCATGTGCGGCAAGGTGGGTCCGGGTGACCCGACTGACCAGGACGTGGGACGGTACCATGGAGGAGCTCGTCCGATGGGATTCATCCACCGCACAACACTAACATTTGGCCCAAAAGAACATAAGCAAAACATACATTTTGCAAAGCAAATTAAACCCGCTCCATGTTGATGAAAAGAGATCCGATTTCACAGAAATTTCATCATGAATTATGATGCGCAGCCACCGAATTCATGTTAGAAGCTCACTTTTTGGTTACCTTGATTTAAACGAAAAATGATACCACGAATCCACAGGTTGTTGTTATTATTTACGATCTACCCCCCATAATTTCCTTTGGACAGAAGTAGTCGATATCTCCACGATCTAGTGACTGCATAGTACCGTATGAGGTGAGCTTATGATGATTATCAAGCAATACAAGACACCAAATGGAGTCTTCATATCTACGAAAGTGGACAACTTCCAATCATCCAATGCAGAGACTTGTGCGCTCTTTCGCTTTTGCTTCATCATGCTGGGCTTTGCTACTCTGACGTTTGACAATTTATTTTATTTTATTAATTTCAGAATAGTATAAAGAAAGATATCAATGGGAATTTACAGGTTGGCTGATTTTTTCTTATAAAAAAAATTTGAGGGTTGGGCAATGTAATAACCTTTGTTAGGAGCAGAAAGAGATTCCGACTAGGCTATACTCCAAAGGGTTCACTGAAGGCCAGACAGTTCTCGATCAAGAAATCTTACAGAATTCGCGCAATTGGACGAGTTAGAATTGCCAAAGATACTCCAACTGCATCACAGCAGATGGTCAAAAGCTCACAGATAGTCCTACTAATCATACTCCATAAGGCGAAAAAAAAAGTTGCTCGAATCTTGTATTGGCCATAAAAACCCGGTGCCTGTTAAGTTGAAAAATATCTGCACAGCCCTAAAAACGAGGATGCCGCTTGAGATGACTGATAAGACCAAATGTAGTCTCTGATACTCTCAACAGCAATCCAAGAGTACCTGAAAGGAAAGATAAGACGTATGGAGTTAATCATACACGCATGGAGTTCCTCACCCAACTGTCACAAGTTAATCATACACGCACGGAGTTCCTTACCCAATTGTCACATTTGGCAGGCGATCATCATCATCGGGGTGTCTACATACGAAGTCTTCCATCCCGCTCAAGATCAACAAGCACGCTAGCATCATTGGCAAGTTTGTCGAAATTATGTCCTCTCAAGTTCAAGAGCACAAGATTACCTATGTCGCAAGTGTATGGTGAAGTCATTCGTATCAGCCAAAAGAAGAATTTACAAGGTATTTATGGAATGAAATTACCTGTCACAGCTTGCAATGCCGAGCATATGACAGGGAGAGATTCTGGAGGCATAATATTGTATGCAGCATCGACTGCAAGAAGCTCCGGCGCGCATTCAATGAGCTTGGACAAAAATTTCGCCGATTCAATCCCACCGTCATTTTTCCTATACCAAGCAAATTAAATGACTTCGGTTAAACATGGTGACTGTCCTATAAAAGACGCTGAATAGAAAGTCAGTGTTAACCTTATATCAATTTTCAGAAGCTTGCTGTGCGTCACTTTTTGTAGCTCTCGAAAGCCAGATGAACCCAACTCAACAGCACCTATCTTGAGTACTTGAGCTTTAAATCGTTCATTTTTTGCGAAACAAACGGAGTCTAAAATAAGGAAATATAAAGCCTACATTAGTGCAAAGAAAATTTTCTCAATTAAATAGTGTATTAGACCACTTGCGTATTGTGTAAAAAGTTCTTTATATATAGTTGGTGTTTTCTATACTAACTCTCAAAATAAACATGTATGAAGAAATACTTTACACTTCTCTTATTAGCAATCAAAAGAGTGTCGATTCACCTCATTGATAATAAGGGAATCATCAATGTTAAGTATGATCCGGTTCCACTTAAATACGCAATTATAATGTGTTTTATATACATACATCCTCTCTCTATCTATTGATTTAAGCTTTCTTCGATTGGACATTCTAATAAGCTAAATCAATTGAATTATGCAATTGCGTCTTCCAATTATGAATTTATTGATGTAAAAATGATATGAATCCTCTTCCTTTATCTCTCTTGCGGGCAAGTACACGATTGTTTCACGTATTTGGAACTCAAAGAGGAGTAATATACAATCCACAAACTTTTATATCTCTAATAGAAAATCAAACCAACTCTACCTTAAATATTGTAAAAGTATTCAGAAAAATCCATGTATGCGACTTAGATTGATTACTCTAGTTCATTGTTTATAATTGTTATTTTACACAAATAACTGTATCATTTAATCCACAACATTTTTTCGAATTTTTAGAATTTAAATATCTCTCATCCACGTTATGCAAATTGTTATTTGAATTTTTTTAATTGAGTCAATTCGGCCAATTTTGGCTAAAATTTGCTGATGTGGATAATTTTAAATAATATTTTAATAAATTTTCGAATTTTTTATTTTTCTTTTATTTTTCCTTCTTTAATTTATTTTTATTGTGACCGAGGAGGGACCGCTAGCCCTTGCCAACCACTGGGTGAGGCCAACCTGCGAGGCTGCCTTTGCCCGCACCAAGCAAGGGTAGGGTATCACACGGTGGCTGCCACGATGGCCTCACCCTGATTTGGGCGAGGTCGGGTGAGGGCCCTACAGCCCTCGCCGGCGTCGCCCAGTGGCCGTCAAGGGACATAATGGGAAAGGTGCAAAAAGTTTCTTTAGCCAGGTTTATTTAAGAGTAAATTACAACATACATTGGTGTTCAAAAATATTATACTCAAGTGGCTTTTATTCATTTGAGAGAGAGGATAATTATAATTCTCTAATCAATGTTGGATAAGACCACTCGTGTGCTCTATTTTTTCTTATTTTAATACCCCTAGGGACCGCATTCGAAAGTATTCATGTTTGATAATTTATGTTAATGTTGAATAAGTTTTGGGATATAGATCACTCAAAGATGATAAATTAATCGAATTCTCTTTTGAGATCATGACAAGCCACATCATCGCTAGAATAAATATAACTTTGTTGTCTCCTAATTTTGAGGAGGTAAATACTAATGTTCACTGTTGTAATAATATGAATATAATCCCATATGAAGCTTAATTTTTCTTTAAATTGCAAGACAAAGCAAAACAAAAAGGTGCGAAACTGCTGAATCTACCATAGCTAAACAATGTGTTTCCTTTGTTTTCGATTTGGTCTTGAACAAATGATAGTAATTCAACATAATTTTTATAGTGTATATTAAAGTAGAACATATTGAGAATTGTAAAAGAAATGGGCAATATGGGAATTGTATACTATTCTAGAGCATTCCTGGGTAGTTAGGAGATGGGGGAAATATAATCTTTACCGTTAGATTGAGAAGAGATCTACGGTTATAATCGAAAAGGTATTTGTATATATAGGGATCTCCTCTCCTTATTTGTATCAAGTAATTGAATTCCAACTTCTTTAGTGAGTTTGGTGAGATGTGCCCATAAATTTCACCAAAGCTTCTGCTACATGGCTAAATAGACATAAGACAAATTCAACAAACCAGAATAAAAGCTCCAGGAATTAAGAATAGTTGTAAGGATAGAGGATCGACCTGCCAAGTTTGTTATTTGAAATAGAAAAAAAAAATGAGTGATTCATCTAATATTGATAGTACGTTTAGCAATTCAATAACCCCATTAGCTGAAAGGTTGCACTTTTCCAAACTCAAGGCAGCCAAGGAAAAGCTTTTTCCAGATGACTCGGCCAAAAATGGAATTAGATAGGGGAAGATACTATAAAAAAATAAAAATAAAAAAAAGAAACTAGCTATAAGTAAAACTTGTACTGACCTGAGCCCATCATCCCAATGGGATTCTCACTTAAGTCCAATGTCTGCAAGGCAGGCATGTGAACAAGAACGTGCCTAAGATCGGCTGCATCTTGTTCGTAAAGATCATTTCTCCTGAATGCAAGAGATACTGATATTAAAAATAAGTACAATAAGAGGATGTCTAGGATTTTTTCGAGCCATTAATCACCAAATCCCCATCCAAAACCATTCATTCTGTCTGCATCCTAGTATCTGCCGTATGTTGTATCCCAGGTAAACAAGTGTATCAAGAAAAAGGGGTGATACCTCAGTTTAAGCACACGTAATGAAGCAAATGATTTGGTAGCTCCTGTAGATGAGATTCTGGTACCTTCGTATTTCCAGGTGAAACTAGAAAGGCATCCTGATATCCGCAAGAAAAGTACATTTGACGTTGAAATTAGTTTTTTCCCTGAAAAAGAAAATGATGGAAAGAAAAAAATGTGTACTATGCATCTCATTGTTATAGAGATCGAGGACGGATAGGGCAGACGAAGCATCGAGAAGTGTAGTAAATATCAACTCAGCATAGTTTCTGTCTAGCTGGACGTTATGAAATTGCAGTGACTGCAAGCACCTGAAAGCAAAAGTTTCAAAAGCAAAACCGGTGAAATTTACTGGGAAGCATCTGACAGAACAATATCTGCCTCTAACATCGTTATGCACTTGTGAGTTTGTAATAGAATATGAACTCAATCAAAGGAACTGTTATAGACAAGAACTCCAGGATGCAACATACTTTGAGTATTTATTGTCCAGAAACCTTGTTCTACTCCTCCAAATCTTTGTACCGTGCCATTCCCCATTCTTTTCTATCTTATAAAGGTGCCAAGTATGTCACTCTACCGGGATTTTCTTTCAATATGAAGTGCTGAAATAGCTAATGTACATAGATGGCTGTAGCAACTGGTGAACTTGTGGAAAAAGGTGCACAAGACCCCATAATACAAGGACTAAGACAAGGGTCTATTTGGATTGGTTTTTACTGTTTGCCTAAGCTAAATCTTGTGGCTCACAATTTGACCTTGCTCAAATTCGAAACACTTGAAACTTTCACAACATACAAATAATTTTTTTTTGGGCTACACAACATACAAATATTGACGCTTAGATTTGCATATGTTTCTACCAAAATTCTTTCTTAAGTCGGATGATATCTTAAATTTTGGCAGGAATGTTTTGTTTTTTGCTAAATCTTAAACAAACAAGCCATTAAGGCTGCGAATGATAACCATTCTATTACTCTATTTCTGTTCCAGAAATAGGTTTGGAACAGAAATCCGTTTAGTAACGCAATTTTAATTTCTATTTCTGAAACAAATTTTTGTTCCAGAAATAGATTTGGAAGAGAAATCAGAAGTTAAAATTTTTTGCTTCTCCTATTTCTGTTTCAGAAATAGAAACAATTTCTATCTCTTCTTTAGCCTTAAGACCTGCTCTGCTCTGAACAAAAGTCCACCAAAGTCCACCAAAGATAGATCTGCTCTGAACGAAGGAAATATCCTCCTCTTCAATAGAGAGACCACAAAAACCCCAGGCCGTCCTCCTCGCCGCCACGCCATCCTCCTCACCGCCGTTAACACCGTCCTCCTCGCTGTTGACGCCGTCTTCCTCGCCGTCGATGCCGTCTTCCTCGCTGTCGACGCCGTCTTCCTTGCCGTCGACGCTGTTGACACCTAATTTTTAGCTCATTTTTGTCATATTTTCAAAAATTTCAAAATTAGGTCTAGGGATCTTGGCCAAGCCTAGAAACCTATTTCTAAACAAAAAAATAATTTTTTAGCATTTTTCTACATTTTTTTATGAATTTATTTTAGTCAAAATAAACAAGAAAATCAAGAAAAATAGAAAATGGAATCAGAAAATTCCATAAAAATAGTCAATAATTTTATTTTAAATCCAATTTCATAATTACACTGTCAATTTTAGAAAATTTCAATCGGGTATATGTTTTTCCCAAAATTGGGTAAAAATTAAACCCGAATTGAACCAAAAATTAAATTAAATTTTTTCTAGACTTTTTTAGGTCATAGTGTCTTCACAACAATTGATTCTGGGACCTTTAATTGCACAATGGTCAGTCCAATTGCACAATTTGGTGCAAAAATAAAAAAATCCCCAAAAATTGATTGAAAATTGAGAATTTTTGAACCTAAATTGGGAATTGTGCCCAAAATGAAATTGGCGAAATGTGAGACTATCATTTCTAAGGTTAATCAGGGGTGGGCAATGCAATTTTGGCATCAATTTTGCCTAATCAGGTCATTAAGACCTCGAATTGAACAAAACCCTATTAACCCGAGTATAAAATTGAGAAAATTTTGGGTAATCAAAATTGGGGAAAATTGTATGTTCGGGTTCGGAACATGCTGGGAAATGCAATTTTGAGGTTTAATTTGAAAAATTCGGTCAAAATAAGGCCCAATTTGCATTTTTAATCAAAACCGGAACTGCCGGGTCGGACTGGTCAACCCGACCCGACCCGCACAGTGTCGTCTCCTACACCCGGCCACTCAACCCGTGAGAAAACCCAGAAAAATCTGATTCAAGCCCGCGACTTCATTGATGGAATCATTCAACAATCAAAACCGATTAGGAGTCTGTTTCAACGATTTTTGAGCGGGAAATCAAAGACCAAAAAACGAAAAAACGGAAGAACATTGCAGAGAACCTATTCGACGATTTTCCCGAGAGAGAAAGAGGGAGAAACAGAAGGAAAAGTCCAGAAATCTAGAGAGAGAGAGGGTTGAAGACCCCCTCACGAGTGTCCGGCGCCGCCATATACGGCGGAGCGCCGGCGAATCGTGTTTGGCAGTGGTCTTCCCCTCACGGTTTGAACCAGACTTGGGAAGGCCTGAAACCAGGCTCAATCCGGCGTGACCAGACCTGTTCCTGAGAAGCTTAAGTCACCGGGAGGTAGAGAAAGTGTCAAGGAACGTTCTCCAGGCTATATATCACTTCAAAAAATTCATTCGGCCGTCAAAAAAATCAGGTAAAAATCGTTCACAATCAGTTTTATAAAAATTTTCCAGAAATTCGGTTTTGTTTCAATGTGCATTTTAAAGTGATTTCATTGGTGAATCTTGGCATGTTGATGTCTATTATCAGTTTCTAATCAATTTTATGTGATTTGATTGTGTTTTTGGGTACTAAAAATGCATAAACCGAAACGGCCCCCATATAAACCCCTTCGCCGGAGCTCCGACGACCTCGCCGGAGCATTGCCGTGGCCGTAAGGCCATTCAGGTTGGTTTCTTTGACCTTTTTTGATGTTTTGATGTTAGATTAAACCGATTTAGACGGCTAAGGCGGCTAGTATTAGGCTGTGAATTCTGAAAAATTGAAAAATCAAAACAGTGGAAGTTATGGTGTTTAGACCAGTTTTTCACTGGCCGGCGAAGGTCCGACGGTGACCGGATTAGGCTAGATGAAAAATGGAACATGTGGACTTGTTAATCATGCAATTAAATTGACCAAAAGGTCGTCGGAAGCTCGCCGACGGTGAGCTCAAATCGGCAGCCTCGATAACTTCAAAATGGAAATGGTGCACACCAAGTGTTCACCAAAATACCACAATGAAAATGGGTGAAACGGCGCCGTTTTTGGGCGTGCCGTGCCGTCGGAGAAGAAGACCGGCGCCGGCGCCGGCGACGGCCGGTTCGGTCTCGGCCGAACCGGTCTGGTCCGGTTCAATTCCCTTCGGCGGGAAAAATTCAAAATAAAAAAATAAAAAAATTGCAGAAAACTCAGGAAAATAGAAAAATTCCTAGAAAATTCATAAAAATTTCAAAAAAATTCAGAAAATAAAAAAATATAATAAAAAAATTGAAAATTCTGAAAAATCAAGAAAATTTTGAAAAATTGGAAAATTCACCAAAATTTCCAGAAAACCATAAAGATCATTTTCTCGGTTTAAAATTTTTCCGAAAAATAAAAAAATCAAAATTTTTGAAAATCCACATAATGATTAAAAATCATTGTGGCTAGCCATAAAAAATCAAATTGGAATTTTTGGAAGTGTCTAAATGACACTAAAAAAAATCAAAATTTTTGAAAATCCACATAATGATTAAAAATCATTGTGGCCAGCCATAAAAAATGAAATTGGAATTTTTGGAAGTGTTCAAATAACACTAAAAAAAAAATAAAGAATTGAAAATCCTCAGAATGATTAGAAATCATTGTGGCCAGTCATTAAAAGTGAAATTTGGATTTTCCAAAATGCTCAAGTGGCATAATTTGGAAAATTCCAAATTTAAGGCTAAAACCCCTAAAAAACCCTAAAAATGAAATGAACAAGCTGTTAGAGCTTTGGTTAGGGTTTTGATAAATTTTTCATTTCTAGTGACCAAATTAGGGTTGCTTTGATTGATTTGCCATTGGATGTGCAATTGATTTTTGGATGCTTAATTGTTTGTCCATGATTAGATTAGTGAATTGAACTTAGAGATCCGTGTGACGCACTAGACATGCTATAATCGTTCTTAGGTACCGAAAGGACACTAACGGTTTCAATTTGGGATCGTTAATGTAACCAAGTCCCTTACCTAGAATCTTTGGTTCGTAGGATTGCGGTACTTCTCTCGTACCACAATTAGGTTTCTAGTCGACCTACCGTAAATGACTAGTGGCGACTCCAAGTTTAAATCAAACAAACCCCGCTGTCACGTGAGATATGGCCTGGGAGAGGCCCATATAGAAAAAATACCTCCATCAGAAAGCACGCGATCGCGTGGCGCGACAGACGCTGTCTTCCTCGCCCCCACAGGAACGTAAGCGAAGGAGGAGGGCCGAGAAGAGACGAAGATGGAGCTCCCCCAGGACCTCAAGCGCGCTGGTTTCCTTGCCGCCGCTCTTGCTCCGCCTCTCGTCACCGCCACTCTTGCTCCGCCTCTTGTCGCCACCGTTGCTCCACCTCTCCTCGCCGCCGCTCTTGCTCCGCCTCTCGTCGCCGCGCTCGCCGCTGCTCTTGCTCCGCCTCTCGTCGCCGGGCTCGCCGCTGCTCTTGCTCCGCCTCTCGTCGCCGTGCTCGCCGCCATTGTTGCTCTGCCTCTGGTCGCCGCCGTTGCTCCGCCTCTGGTTGCCGCGCTGGACACCGCTCTTGCTCTGCCTCTGGTCGTCGCGCTCGCCGTCGCTGTTGCTCTACCTCTGGTCACCGCCGCGCTCGCCGCCGCTCTTGCTCTACCTCTCGTCGCCGCGCTCGCCGTCGTTGTTGCTCTGCCTCTGGTCACCGCCGTTGCTCCGCCTCTCATTGTCACCATTGCTCCGTCGCCGTTGCTCTACCTCTCATCGCCGCGCTCGTCGCCTTGTCCACTCTCTGTCTCACTCCAGGTGCGCCGCTTTCCTCATTCCTTGACTCTATCTTAGCGTCGTTGCCTTTGTGCTCTCTATGTGTGGAATGGCGCGGTCTTGTCGAACGTGTTTGAGTGTCATGTGGAATTTGTTGGACGGTGGATGGCTGTGTTATGGTGCTATACGTTAGATTATGTTAGTTGGCTTGTGACCGTGGAAGTGTGCCGGAGACATGCTTCGGCTTCGTGTTTTCTTTTTTATGAACTCAAAAGCTGAGATTCGTTTTGTTAGGCTGTTAGAGAATGAGCTGGTTATGTTCTGCATTGATGTTATTGTTGTAAGAGAATGAGCTGTTAGAGAATGAGCAATTTGCTTAGCTTTGCATGATTACATTCATTGCAAGGCTAATTTGCGCTTCAAGAACAGAGAATTGCGGCTATTCATTCGATAGTTGAGTATAGGATCAATTCACTGTTATGTGTCGTTCATTGTGCATTGTTGAATTTGAATTTGTTGTGCTGTGTTTGAATTTGATAGGTGGTGATGGTTGTGTATCTCTTTTGCGATTATGGATAGAATAAGTGATGTACTTAGATTGGCGAACTTGGAATGGGCTGAAATTTGGTCGGCTGAGTGGAAACAGACCGCTGATTAATACCCACTGCTTTGCTGTGATCGACGTCGTTTTTTTGCGTTTCGGAGTCCTTTAGATGGTTTTCAGGCTTTTTTTCGATTTAGGGTTTTGTTTTAAGTTTCGTTTTAAGTTTCGATTTAGGGTTCAACTATGTTTAATTGTCTGCAATGAAAGATGTCTTATTTCAAATTTGTAGTAATACTATCATGTTATTATGTCACACGATAAAGAATTTAAGTTCTTAAGCTTTTCATAACTATGGTGGATTTGCTTGGAGACGAAAAAAGAAAAGAACAGAACAACCATGCATCTACAAATAGAAGAACATTCACCAATTATATACTTCAAACGAGGTCTAAACCTACTTGGACAAGTTGGTTTGCTTGATTACAATAGAAAAAAAAAACCTATTGGACAAGTTAGTTTGCTTGATTACAACAGAAAAAATCCTACTAGACATTAGCTACAAAGTTGAATTGGTAGGGGGATGTTCTCTTTTAATTTGACTAGCGCGATATATACTTGCTTGATCTGATAGGAGGATGTTCTCTTTCAATTTCTTTGTGTCTTTTGGTTTATTAACAGTCATTACATATTATTGTGATTTTGATATCAAAGCTTCTGCACTTGAATTGGTACATTATCTGATGTGGCTCATTTGATGCTCAACCAGTTAAGGTTAAATGGCATCCAACAAAGAGGTTCTTATGGCAAAGTGGACCGAGTCTTTGATCAATATGCTTGTAAGTTTGTTGGTAGACGAGGTAAAAAAAGGAAATCGCACCACCTGTACTTTCAACAAAGCAGGGTGGAATAACATACATGTTGAATTCAATAAACAAGCAGGACTCCAATTTAGTATAATTTCGTTGAAGAACAGCGTAAACAAACTGAAAAGACAGTATGGTAGTTTTAAGAAGCTTATTTCACAAATTGGATTTGGATGGGATAATGTAAACAAAAAGGTTACTGTAGATGATGCAAGTGTATGAGAGTCTCACATCAAGGTATTACTTTATTTGGGTCAGTTTGTTTTTATTAAGGATATAAGCTTCAATTATGTTGCTGACGTATATCATTATTGTGAAAATTGTAGGATAATAGCGAATGGGCTAAATTCAAGAATGATGGATTTCCTTTGTATCCCCAGCTGTGTATTGTGTTTGGTGATACATATGCTACTGGGGAGTATGCAGTAGGAAATGTAGAAGACTTGTTAATGTCGGAGGGAGAAGACAATGGTGGTGGTGGTGGTGGTGGGGTAGGTGATTCAGAGGAATTTAATGAACACTATGTTAATGAGGGAGTCTTTACACCTGAAATGACTGCCACCCCAGTTTGTGATAAGCACAAGTTGGATAGGACTCCAAATTCCAAGAAAAGGAGAAAGAACAACACATATGATGTTAGTGCCACATGCAAAGCCATTCAAGAAATGATCAAATTAAGGACGGGTCAATCAACAAGTGGCTCCGTCACCTCACATGCCCCACCACCTGTAGACCCCTACTCCATAAGAGTTGTGGTTGCCGTCCTAAATGGCATGCCTAACTTGGAGCAGGATCTTTACAATAAAGCTGTGAACTAGACATGCCTTAATGCCACTTGGAGAGAAGCTTTCATTATATCTCTATCTGAAAGGAGGCGTGGACTTCTTGAATCTCTTGAAGTAGTTGTTGAGAAATATGCTATTGGTTTATATTTGGCTTTCATCATTGTATGACTTATTGACTTATGTACTTGAGACTTTGATTTTTTTATGATGCAACTACAATGACATTGTGGCTATTGTTTGGTTTTTTCTTATGATGCAACTATGATGACATTGTGGCTATTGTAGCTACTGTTGATTGTTATTGGAGTCCTTATTTGATGTGTTTATGTTTTTATTTTGTGTGATGGCATAGGTAATATGAGGGGGGTGAAAGTAGCAATTATAATGATGAAGTAGCATCGGTCGAATCAGTTGAACAAGACTTTGATGATTTTGATTTGATATACTGATATCCTGGTTGTCCACTATTGATGGTCCATTCCATCGACGAATCTACTGCTCAATATCAAACCATGGTCACGACATAAAGACTTGTGACAAGACTACCAAGATTCCCCCCTTGGCAACGTCTCCACCTACAAAGCCGGTGGCTCGGCCCAGAAGGATATCCTAATCCGGTATGCATACCCCCAAGCCCCTCAATGGGCTCACAGCGATATTGAGCATCAAACAATCATCATCCAATATTAGAAATCTAATCCAGAATACATTTCACAAAACAAACAAATAACTTTCTCGCAACACGGCTCATCCGCCGGAAATACATTTCGTAGAGCATTTCTTGAATTATTTCCGAACTCATTTCATAAACTAGTTCGTAACGCGATACACATATGTATCCTTTCACAATACATTTCCAAAAACGATTCCCAAATCATTCTCAAAATTCTTCATAAATCGATATGTATAACCTTTAACAAAAGAATTCTTTTCATAAAGAATTTCCTCAATTTATTTCACGATAATCGATATATAAGCCATTTCAAATAATCAACAGGGTAGTAAATGCCCGATTCGAGCTTTTATGCAATAACAATGCTATTTAACTCATAACATATCCGATTCATATCGCTTTCGAAATATGAGTTTATAAACTCAAAGAAGAGATAGCACCACTCACCTGAAATCCCCAAAAATCACAATACGGCTCTCACTCGAACCGAAGATCTCGTAATCCTATCAATTAAACGAGAATCGACGTCAACACTAAGTAAAACACCATTTCACTAACGACTAGACTAAACTAAGCTTAGACGCTAACCAAAACGATTCAAACACGCCCACAAATTGCTCCTCCAAAGCGATTATTCAAATCATCCGCAACGCGAAACTTGAATGCGAAACTTGATCGCGCCATAACTTTTTCCACCGAACCCCGTTTCAAGTGGGCTTATAGTCAATAGAAAGCCCATTCATAGCCCTACAATAACCCCAACTTGGCCATCCCAAAATTGAGCCGTAAACTGACGAAAATCGGCCTAAAAGCCGCTGGTCACGCACTGTTCACCTTGTGCGGCCAACTTCAAAAATTTGTAACCGGCAAACCGTGAGTCCAAATTTGGTTCCGTAACATCCCATAGCCCCGCAATACCCCAAACTACCAATTCTATATATATATGCAGCTCAACGAATCAAAAATCGGACTTCGCTGCTCAAATAACACATAATTTCGAAATTGAGACCTAACTCGGAAAAATATTCCGATTGAACGAACGAGGGGTGCGAATACTTACCGGACGTTGCTAATCAAAGTCGAATCGACTTGGCGAAACTCCATCGGCGCAAAACCCTCTTCTCTTCTCTTTTTCTTTTTCTTCTTCCTCTTTCCTTTCCTCTCTTTTCTTCTCTTTTCCTCTTTCCTTTCCTCTCTTTTCCTTTCCTCTCTTTTCTTTCCAAATCGTCCGCAACGCGAAACTTGAATGCGAAACTTGATCGCGCCATAACTTTTTCCACCGAACCCCGTTTCAAGCGGGCTTATAGTCAATAGATAGCCCATTCATAGCACTACAATAACCCCAACTTGGCCATCCCAAAATTGAGCCGTAAACTGATGAAAATCTGCCTAAAAGCCGCTGGTCGCGCACTGTTCACCTTGTGCGGCCAACTTCAAAAATTCGTAACCGGCAATCCATGAGTCCAAATCTAGTTCCGTAACATCCCACAGCCCCGCAACACCTCAAACTACCAATTCTATATATATACGCAACTCAACGCATCAAAAATCGAACTTCGCTGCTCAAATAACACATAATTCCGAAATTGAGCCCTAACTCGGAAAAATATTCCGATTGAACGAACGAGGGGTGCGAATACTTACCGGACGTTGCTAATCGAAGTTGAATCGGCATGGCGAAACTCCCTCGGCGCAAAACCCTCTTCTCTTTTCTCTTTTTCTTCTTCCTCTTTCCTTTCCTCTCTTTTCTTCTCTTTTCCTCTCCTTTCTTCTCTTTCTGTTCTGCTCTCAGCGAGAGCTCTCGGTTCCTTTTATTTCAGCCGAGAGTCTACTGTAACTTATGTTGACCTGTTGACTTTTGACCCTTTTTTTTTTAAAAATATTACAGAGAGATAAGAGAGATGGAGCTGGCTACTCCATGATCGATCGATCGGCGGCGGCGGCTTCCTCCGGCGGCGAAGGAAGGCGAGGAGGAAGGCGAGGGAGCCTGACTCACTGACTGCTCGAGCCAGCGAGTGAGCTCGAGGGAGGAGGAGGAGGAGGGGCATCGTCTCGGATGAATTTTACGCACCCGACTTGCTTTATTTTGCCAATTTTTCTTTTTAACTTCAAGTTTCCTTTAATTTAATTTTTAATTTTTGAAAATAATCCACGTCGGCCGACGGCACATGACCCGTCGCGCCGCATAAGCACTGCTCTGCACTTGCTTTACT